CCAGGGTCTGAAAATGCTGTAATTTTTTAGTTCAATTTGCTTTTGCTCTGCTTTGACTTCGGGATTTATGATATCGAAACCAAGAAACAGCAATTCAGAAAAAAAGGAAATGCTTTGGCTGCAATTTTGCTGTGAAATTTCGGAAGCCATCGGACAGTGAAAAAGTGTTTTGTGGAAGCACAACGACAGAGAAGCAATACAAAGCAATAGAAATTTGGCTATAACTTAGCTGCGATGCATCAAATTAGCAGTAATAGAAGATGTTATATGTATGCATGCACAAATACACTACCCTGTAGTTCTACTGGTGGCAAAAGACGATCATAATCTAAAGATTCCATATATAACTGATAGTACGGTAACTCGCTGGCGAAAGATCATGCCATGTTACATTCGTTAGGCAAAGGAAATGGTATCGCAAATTTGTAGCTAGTACTCACTCCTGGCGAGTCAGCTAAATCATATACATTTTGTTTATGTATATATGTAGATAATACACCATGCTGTAAAACTTCATGTGCACAGTACAGTCAAGCAGATCACAGCACAGCAAAAGCACAGCACAATCACAGTAAATCGAAAGCAAAAAATTTTTTTCAATAAACTGCCGAAAAAAGAATACAATTTTCAAAATCACAGCAAAAGTGAAGCCGTTCGAATGAAAATCGAATATTTCAAAGCGAAGCAAAAGCAAAAATATGGTGTCTGCTGCTGTGCTGACAGTTTTTCAAACCCTGCTTCTACCGATTAGACCTTGTTGCTTTTTCCATTTTTCCTAATAAACAAAATCGTGGTACAAAGCTCAATAAAAATATTAAAATTAAATGTGAATAAGCCACATAACACTGCCTAAAGGTATTATATTTTAAGGCTCACTGATCTTCAGTTCTGTATCACATTCAAACTTTTTCGGTTGACAACGGTCAAATCAACTGTCATTTTCAGTTGAGTAACACAATATGTTTGTTTAGCAAAATTTGATTTATTATATACGAGGGAACATATCTAAAATGAATTTATGATCAAATTATGAAATAATAACAGTAACAATATTTATAAATTAGCGACAGTTGGGACCGTCGGCTAAATGTTCAACTCAAACTATTCCATCTAGGCCGCAAACATTTCTTTTAACATAGCTTTATTTTATACGTCAGCTCCGAAACTTCAGTTTTCTCATTTTTAAATAAAGTTAATCAGGTTAGAATTTTTGTAAATTTCGGACGCCATATTGGATTTTGCATTTTGAATTTTCAAAAAGTAGTTTGAATTTTGTAATGAGCGAACTTTAGAACCTGAAAATACCATATTTCATGAAAATTCAGTAATTTTTTTAAATTATTGGACACCATATTGGATTTTTGAAAATTGACTTCAGCTGTGTTAAGGCAGATCTAATGATATGATGCTAAATATCGAACAAATTACATTAATCTTAAATATTTTAATACACTTTATTTTATTTATAATAACTGCTAAAGTTGGTCTGGTGAAACAAAAATGGCCGCCACCCTTCTTGGCGCTTTTCTTTTCCTAGATCCTTGAAGGGTCCTTTGCATTTGTTTTTGGTAAAGGAATGAAGACCCTACTCAGCTTCACCTATTAGTTGCACCTTTCTGAAGAAAATATTTCTTGAAAAATAAGCCGTTGATAATTTGGCAAAAAATGTTTATTATGTAATATTTTATATGATATCATAATTTTCCATGTCTAAGAAGTAACATCAAACCAGCATTTACTGTTATAATTGAAAGCTTCCATAAAAAGATTTTTCAAAAAAAGCTATCAACTCATAGCTGTTAGAACGAACGAATTCGTTGAATTAAGCGGATTCACCGGCTTGCTCTGCAGATATTATTGAATATACATTCAGAAAAAACATTCCTTGATGCTAGAAAAAAAGTATATTATTCTAAGGAAATATTACCTTGAAATGGCTCCAATGAGATGGCTACCTTAATATAAGTAAACGTTGTGACTCAGTTTAAGGAAAACACAATTCCTTAGTTTTTAGGAAAAAAATTACGCCTTTTCATCACCCGTGAAAGGAATAAGTGTGTCATTTTGCTACTGGCGCTCAAACAGTGGCAATGGCCGACAGAGCAAAGCTCTGGAGTCCTAATCGAGAGATGCAAGGTTCGAGTTCCAGAGCAGGATTTTTTTTTAATATTTTTATTTTATTTTTAATTGTACTTTTTTAAATTGTATTTAAAAAAATTTATCTTATTTATTTTTTTTTTTTTAAGGTATTTGAGTATTTAGGTTTCCATATATGAAATTAATTTTACAATTTGTAATTTATATTTAAATTGAAATAATTGACCCACCTTACCCTAACCACCGGACTCGAACCTGCCATCTCAGAACCAGAAGCAGTAGCCTTAACCCGACGCCACAGCCGACATTTTCCAGGAAAGCAAATAACTTTGTCTTAACAGCACTGACAAAACTCAAAAGGTTTAAGGAAATGCTTTTTTCTGAGTGTACTAATCAGTTTTGAGCTCGTTGGACATTTCTGAATAAGAATAGTTTTATTCCGGTTAATTTATCACAGTTTTAAAATATGCCTTTTTCGCGTAAAACATGGTAGAAGCCACTGTGCGCCGCAAAATGGGACTACAGAGCCAAGATTAGTAAAAACGGATTAGCGAATTCTAAAAAAGCAATTACACAGATTCATGGCAAAAATGTCCAAGTAACCCAAACCAAAAAGAATTTTTGATAAAAATGCATACCTGCAGTCAGGGGAAGTAGATACAATAAAAAAAAAATACATTTGTAAAACAGATTTGATTTTGTCGCAAGTTATTTAAATTAATGTTTCTACTTGAGCGGATATATAATAAGCCAATCTGATTGGTGACCAATTTTTTAATATATCTGTGGTCACGCATTGTTTTAAATTTTTACGTAAGTATATATTCAAATTTATAAGACAGTTTCACTTGATGTTCTACATAATTTTGTGAGTACAAAATTTTCCGAGTGCTTACTTTAAAAGGGATATTTAAAAAGGATCTAGGAAGCGAGCTAATTTATAATAAGGTCAAGTAACATTAAATATGCGTGTCATGTATAAAATAGTTCCAGCAGCGAGGATTCGCGAGTTCAGTTATTATTCCTGTAAAATTTATTAAATTTTTATTTTAGAGCTTTAGGGGAAGTCTCTGATATGTACATAAAATAAATAATATGCCATATAAAATGAAAGTGCAAGAGGGTGTAGATATTAATTACTCACTAATATATTAATCAGATTCAGCCAAAAGTGAACGTGTCTCTGGTTGGGGTCCGTTTTCGATGGGAAAAGTCCTGATTGCCTTAGCACAGCTTTTGTTGTATAAAATGTAGTTGGCAATGAAAGTTTCAGTGCAAATACATATCATGTATATAATTTAGTGTACAGGTATTGCAAATCTTTTCGTTTTCTCATTTTTAAAAGGAAGAAATAGAAACTTCTTTAGAAATAAAATAAATGTGTCTGTTAATTTTCCCCAAAAATCATAAAATTTGGTACGTGGAGCCAACAAATTTTTGGAAGGAGGTGGATCTCATAGTAAGAAACTCTTCATTACTCTTCTTTCAAATTATAAAATTTTGGCATAAACGAGCAGTGTACAAAAAAATTTCATAAAAACTTATTTGCGCCCATTTTTCAAGACGATAATGCATGCCGATTTTCATGGGCGTAGCCAGGTAGGGGCAGGGGGTGCTACAGTTTATTGTTTGGATACGCTTTGGAAAATTTTTCTAAGAACAGTCTTGTGGAATAATTTGGTCCTGGAAAGCCCTTGTAAATAGGAGACTTTTTTGGGTTAAGGGGTTCCACAAAATTATCCGTCGTACAAATTAATATCAAAATCGTGCTTGGCGATTTCAATGCCACGGTGGGCAAAGAAGGGATCTTTGGAACCACCGTCGGAAAATTCAGCCTCCACGACGAAATGTTCGACAACAGACTGAGGCTGATCGACTTCGCCGGGGCCCGAAACATGACAGTATGCAGTACTTGGTTCAAGCATAAACAAGATTTGGATCGAAAAACGAGAAGCCAAATCGATCATGTTGAGATAGACGGAAGGCATGCTTCCAGTGTTTTAGACGTACGAACACTCCGAAGCCCAAACATCGACTCGGATCACTATCTTGTTGCAGCCAAAATACACACCCGCCTCTGTGCAGCAAAAAATGTGCGCCCAAATATGCAAGGAAAGTTTACGTCGAAAAGCTGCACTCACAACAGACAGCCAATGCATTCGCTACTCGCTCTCACACCTGCTCTCAGAGAGCAGTCTGCAACAAACCGACATATGCGAGCATTGAAACCACATCTCCCGCTCATTAAGTACCGCCGCCGAGCTTGAAAAACAACTGGTACGTTGAGGAGTGTCAGGAAGCTGCAGAGAAAAAAGATGCCGCCTACAGGGCCACGCTGCGGGCGCAGCGCGATATGTGGGACGTATTTGCCGCAATAATAGCCCAGTTATTTACTTACGTTTGCTTAGCAAATCGCTTTAAGCACACTTTAATTTTATAATCTTTTCATCTGTTCTGTTTTATGCTTTTGTATGTGAACAAAAATTCGATCAGCTGTGCTAACCACTTGCAAGGTTTTGCTAATTTTGCGTTCGCGTACTTTTTTGGATATTTTCAAAATTGAGAGATAATCAATCGTTCATTACTCTCTTGCAAGTTTATGCTGGATATTTTTACTGGAGATGTATTCGAGCGGACTAATTGTCCACCTGGTACAGTTTGCTACCTCAGTTTACCTCAAACCGCATTTCACAAGCTTTACAGAAAAGTTTCCGACGGAAAGCTTTCAGACGGAAATTGAAAACTGCCTTATCGACAGCATTATTCGATTGCTTTGCTTCCTTCATTAACGAGCGTAAAGACGGCCCTGATTCCCTCCGGCTGAGCTTCACGCTTACTATTGACTTGATCGAACCCTCAACTGAATGGATGCGCCTTGTTGGCTATAAGAATGGTGGTTGAGTAAAAACTGCGCTCAGTTGAGTTTCGCAGCCGGATCTAGTAGTACGCAGTTAACGGTATAATGTTAAAGTGTTAGGTGATGATGAAAAATTAGTACACGCGAATTGTAATAAAAGTAATTAATAACTGTAAAAATAAGTATATATGTGCATATGCATATACATATTTGTTATAAAGTAATATCTATGGCACGTCACTACTTAAACCAATTAAGTTAAATTACATATTAAATAAAATTAGCAAAAAATTTTAATATTTGAAGTAAAACCATAAATAACTATAAATAGCAGTAAATCGTTAAAGTGTTTTTCTTGGTCCACTTTACACTTAATCATTGACATCAATAAGAAAATGAAAAAGAATATAATTTATTTAAAAAGAAGAAAATACATAAAAGCAAAAAATTAAAAAAATTACTCGAAACCAAACTCGACATATTTTGTGCTTGTCCATACCTCATTTGTATTATACTTTTGTTCGTTCATACATATGTACATACATGCATTTATTTATACATACTGTATCGAAAAATAATTGTGATTTTCAGTTTAAAGCGGTTTCAACCAGTTCCGCACTTACCGCGTGTGTTTAATTTTTCCTTTAACTTTGTTACTGGCGTACTTCAAAACAGCAATACCACCGGCGCTGCAAAAGAATACAAGCCATTTGTGAATTGAGGAGCTGAGGTTATTTGTTAGGTAGCGAAGCAAAGCATCAGCACTAGAAGGTGAGTCGGCGATTAATGATTGGTATTATGTGGTTAGCAATTAAAGTTATATACTTTAATAAGCGCAGCGAATGTTTTCAGGTGTTAAGAACAGATCTACACACTTGCATGCATACTTATTTGCATAACATCAATAATGAAATTGTAAAAATAATCTAAGGGGATGTACATACCTATATATGTCTCTGTGTTACTTAGTAAGATACCTTCGGTGCATTAAGTGGTATACTTATACAGATATGCCTTTAAGCAGAGATCACATGATTTGTACATTTTGGCAGTTACAGAGTGGTGTTGTTTGGAAATTCTTGTATTGATGTGAACTCAAATTTCTAAACAACACCACTCTGTGATTGCCAAAATGTACAAATCGTGTGATCCCTGCTTAAGGCTTGTTTTCACTAAGTTAAATTCAATGACCTCTGCCGTCAAATAAGTGAAAACCCTTTGTCAAAAGGGACCAAAAATCGGTATATCGATTGGTTTTGATCAGAAATGTCTTCAGGCGTGCACATGCGTTGCTAAATCCGATATCTGTCCGTTTTTGGCAAATAATTTCATCGGTAGAGGTATATACAACGCGGATCCCGCTGGTAATAGCAGAGGAAGCAGGAGGCCCCCACTCATATGGAAAGACCAAGGCACAGAAAAAAACGACTGGCGTGCTTTGTTGAACTCGGCCAAAACCGCTTAGGCGGTTACAAGAAGAAGGAGTGCAAGTTGTGTTAAAATATGTCAACAAATTTTGTCGTTAAACTATGACATATTGAAAACCAGCACTTAGAGCAATTTCGCGCGCATATAATGAATATTAATCTAAACGCTTATATGTGTCGTTATTTTGCAAATCTCGTAAATAAACCGGTTTTCCATACAAAATTAAATAAGTTTACTAGGTTTGCGTGGCTGCGAGGCATTTACGTGTTTAGGTGAATACCCCTATTAACGTACTAGTTGATTTGCGCATTAACAAATTAATGTAGAGGTTTCTTTGTAGACCGGCATTGACCAAGGCTATATGTGTTGGTTCAATTTCCATTTGCAAAATGTTTATGCGCTTGAGCAAAACTGTAACCTTAGGATTTATGTATACATACATATATGTTTGTGTGTACATATGTATGTATGTACCTTTATTATTAGTCTGTTTGTTAGCCCGATAATTATTGACAATAATTTCAAATTATCAAGATTTGGTAATTGAGAGAAAAAAGAGACAGCTTACTTGTTAAAGAATATACAAATTCTTGTCTGAAAATCTGTCAGCAGAAAAAGCAGCTGCTCAAAGTCTACAATTTATGAAAGTAATGAAATTTATGTTGCTGATTTTAAGTTTAAACTAAATTATTTTAATTCCAAATTTTTGGGAAGAAAATACTTATTTTTTACGTTTGCTTAGCTTTAGACAGACTATTTATTTACCTACCGTTAACTTAATTTAGAAATGCCCTAACTTATTTACTTTCGAAATTCAGCTTTGAACAAAGTTCACTTGAGTCCTAATAGAATTTTAAAACAACTAGTACATCCATAAATTAAGCTGAGTGCTAATTAAAACACAGGAGTTTCAACAAATCCAAACTTAAGAACTTTAGTTTTTATTAAGTTTTGTAAATACTCTGTAAAGACATAAACATTTTAGATCGGACCTTTCTTTAATAAGGTAACGATTTTCATATATTCTGTTTTATGCTTTTGTATATAAACAATCAGCAAAAATCAATTTAGCGTTCGCGTACTTGTTTTGACATTTCACAATTTCAGGGAGATATTAAATTAAATCATGACTTTCTTTATGATATAGTGGGATGTTAGGTCAAAACCCGTGCTGCACGGTCTAGGCAAAGATAACAAACACTGCGGGTAATATGGAGTAAAATAAAAAGTCTATATACAAAAAATTTTGGTTTTCGGGCACCCTTGAAACGCTCGCAGACCCCTAAAATCTAATGGTCTTATTCATAAACAAATAGCTTTAAAGAGCTTTATATATAGTGACGTTATCATAAAAATTTTCGATTTATAAAGCAGTTAAAGTGTTCTTTATTTTTTATGAATTTCAGTGTATACTTTTTAACTTTGGTCCGGAAACTGTCAGGCCTATTTCCAGAATATTCTTCTATTTTATAAAAACTTAACAATTTTTGTTAACGAAGGGATCAATTTAACGAAGGTGACAATTTTACTTTTTTTGAATCAAGTCATGGAAAGGATATTACACTGAAATTCACAATAAAACTGACGTCTTGTTATCGTTAGTCCGGAACCTGCAACGCCCATTTCTAGGGGCGTGTAGGCTTACAAAAGACTCTTGGGTTTCAGTAGAATGTAGAGCCATGTCACACAGTCCATGCCACAAACGATCTAATTCGCGTCAATTTCGGTAATCGTGTTATCAGCCGTCTAGGCGATTTCAATTGGCCAACTCGGAGATGCGGTTATACTTTTTTGCATGGTGCCGTGAAGTACCGATGTTATGCGATCAATCCATTATCAATTCAGGCGCATAAGATGAATATAGAGCAAGTTATCCGCGAAATAGCGGCGGAAACCTTCACCAAGGTAAACAAGATAACTGGGTTAAAAGGATGCGCTACTGCGAAGGCAGCCACATTAATGAAATCGTGTGCCACTAAACCAATAACATAGATGCATATGGCAAAATGCCTTGCCTTACATACATACATATGTACATATGTATGTAGTATGTTATTGAATAACTGCAACTTTGTGATTACATTAACCAAAGTTAACAAATACCATATGACTCGAAACATCCATCAAATCGCCCATAAACACACAGACTTGTGTGCATTTGTAAGTACATATGTACATACAGACATACATATGTACATATATATTTTTATTTAAAAGCGATGTCGTGCATCCATTCACAATCTCACGTTGTGCAACATGGCTTGTGTACGGGGGAGTAAGTTCACCAAACTGGCTGCCAAATAACCAAGCTGGGGCATCAAACCTGCAACAGCTGAGCGGTCCACTCACTGTGGCGCAGTAAACGCAATTTCCCTGATTTTTTTTTACCGTACTTTTGGGGTGTTCACCGTTCGTTCCAAAATGGGTTTTAAAATGTTGACGTCAACATTTGGGACGTTTCTAACCACAATATCTGTGGAGTTGTTGTTGGGGGTTTTATGTAAAGTCATTCGTAACAACCGAGAATATCATTGTTACATTTAAAGTATTCAGCATGTTGTATTTAATTGTGGATATAATTTAGCAAAACTCAAAGAAAAGTCACATGCAATTCATCGAGGTATAGATACAAATTCTTTTAATACTGAGTCAACATTACGATGAATATTGAGAAAAGCTAGGCCATTGTGTGCTCGTTCTCTGCCCATGCTTGCACATTAGACTGCGCCTTAGCTGTATGGAGAAAATTTTTTAAGCCCCTAAAAATTTTCCTTTGTTCATAAAAAGGTACCCTGCGAAATTTGTTTTAAATCGAACAACGTAAAGACCGGCCTCGAAAAGCCCTAGAGTTCAGCAATTTCATCAAATTTTTCACAAAGTGGTCAAAATTGCCTATAATTCAGTGGGAGATTTAATATACTATTTTAATGCTACTTGATGTTGTTTTAACCCCCGTATATGACGATTCGAGCCCTGATTTCGAATCCGTTAGCTTAAAGTTTCCATCAGATGCAGATTTTGAAAAAACCGAAGTCAAAAAATCGCGGTTTTGGCAATATTTTAGAAGCTCTAGCAAAGAAACAATAGGTGATATATTTGTCAATGTTATTGTGGCTTATTAAAATTTAATTTTTATATTTTTATTGAGCTTTGTACCACGATTGTTTATTAGGAAAAATTGAAAAAGCAACAAAGTCTAAGCGCTAGAAGTTATAGCATCTATTTCGGAGATCACCACATCTCTTCATCAGACTTCTTTTTTCTAGACTTCAGCAGGGATTGAACCTCCTGCACTTGATAGTAGTTGGTTGAATAAGGAAAATGAATTAGCAACAAGAGTTTACGGGATGTACATAGCTCAGTGGTTAACGCTTCTGACTTTGAACATCGATTACGCAGGTTCAATCCCTGCTGAAGTCTAGAAAAAAGAAGTCTGATGAAGAGATGTAGTGATCTCCGAAATAGCAGCTATAACTTCTACCGCTTAGACTTTGTTGCTTTTTCAAGTTTTCCTAATAAACAATCGTGGTACAAAGCTCAATAAAAATATAAATATAGGTGATATAACTTACCTTCCTGGCTTAAATTAAAGCTAGATCTCTCGACTACTATCTCTGAAAAGAGATCTTAAATATTTGAGATTTTAAAATATTTTTTACAATTATTGTCTTAAACGAAATGATGGTAAAACGACCCCTTTCCCCCTTGCGTCCGGGCGTGCTGGAAGGTATGTTTTTTAGCGTCTACATTTTGTAACCTCGCAGCAGAGCTGTATTGTGGCAACACCAATCAGATTATTTTAATTTAGTGGGCACATTTTCCGTATTTGAACTTTATTTGGGCGAAATGGCTGATAAAAACAGGCAAATCAAGGTAAAACATTTACAGCTAAGTTTAAAATATACAATTTTATGAATATGAATTGTAAACTAAATTCTCGAATTTACGAACAGAAGAAAGGTCTGGTAACACCAGTAAAGTTTTGCGACGATTTGCATGCGATGACTACTGGAAAACGTTGGTCATAGTTTGGTGCTAAAAAAGTTACAAAATGTTGACGTCCACATTTTCTAACGCATTTTGGAACAAACTGTGAATACCCCTATTGTTTTCTTGCTTTTACCCGAAGTGTTGTGCCGGTTGCTTTTGCGGGTATGATTTATAAGTTGTCGCATAATGAGCTGTTCAGCGGGTATTTCCAAATTCTTTAACGTAAACACATATGTATATGCCATATCTGGTAAATAAATGTTAACTCCATTTGACCTTTTAGAAAGTTACCACTTTTACCTTCGTTAACTATTTATATTAAAATTCAGGGAATTTGGTACTTCACAGTTTAT